AATGCATATCAAAGCATGTTTCAAACATTATTTCCAAAACAATATTAGGTAATTTAAGAAGATTAAAATATCTGATCATAAGACTGTAGCAAATTCTGAGTCCTCTGTCTGGTCAAAAAAATGACAGGAGGTAGTGAGGTTTCAAAAAATTTGAGGACAGGATTAAGGTCTTGGTTCTAAGCTGCTACACAGAGTTATAGTCATTGTCTTTCAAAAAGAACATAGCAACATTACATGTTTTAAAGGTTCTTACATATTTTAATAGCACTTTTAAGAACTGCTCAGTTACAGTATTTCTTGAGAGCTTTCAGATACCATTACAAACAACTGAAGAAAATGGTTCATCTATAGCACAAAGAATAATCCACCAGGTACAGGCTCCACTACTCCAGGCACGCACACACAGTATGTCAGAGTGCAATTCCACCATTTCTACAACAAACAAAAAGCAAGCTGCCACCAAAATGAATGGTTATGCTGCCTGCCTTTTACCCATTAGTTTTCTCTCCCTTTAAGGTAACGTATTCAGCAAGATCAGTCTTGCACAACTACAAGAGTGCTTACACTGGCACACCAAGAAGACACCAAAACCAAGTTGGCAATGGAAGGTGAGACCATTCTTTCTTAGCTGTAAGCCTGCACTTACACTGATCCCGAGCACATCCACAATGACAGAGGATGACATCTCTTGCAGCAGCACTGGCTCCTACATTACCATGCAGCAAGCTACTCTGGGAAGTGAACCAGATAATAGTTACCCATTCCTCACGTGATTTGTTTTCAGCTAAACTTGGAACTAAAACTGACCCATTTCACATTCACATTGGTGACAGCAACACTGCAAGTTATCACTGGCAGCCTGAACAGAAACTGTCTTCAGCTACTGCAGAACCGTACCCTGGATGTGCCACAGCTTGTGCAGTGCTGCATCTTGTATTATTTCTTCTTCCCTAACACCGATGTGTTAAGAGCAACTAACCACATATTTTAGAAATATTGCTAACTGACTTTTAGAAAAATCATGGTAAAAAATAACTTCTAAAACCCCCTTCAAACTAGTAGCTACATCACATTTCAGCATAAAGCAACATGTATTAAGACTTACAAAACAGAACAACTTAGAAACCTCATGTTTCAGTTGTCATCCCCTTGGAAAATACAGAAGACATAGAACCTTCCCTCATGAAAGATCTGTAACACAGAGTAAACAGAAACGACAAAGATAAGCCTTTTAAGACACCTACATTTCTAAGCTAGACACCAGCTCTAGCAATTTTTACGTAAAGGAATTTATTTTCAAGCTTCCCCTCCTCTAATTTAACACTAAATTGTTTTAAAATACTCCTACTCCAGTTAAAACCTTTTCAACCTTTTGACAATCTATACAATAGCAAAATTTAATATACAATTTTCCTTCATATATAGTTTTCCTTTGACATATTTCATTTGGACACGTATTTGAAAATAACTCTTAAAACAGCATTCTAAATGCTCCTCCTTGACAGCATTCAAAAAACCAAACACAAACACTGAAAAACCACTGTGGTCTTTCATCAAAGACTAAATGCATTTTTGCTCCGTTTAGTACCATATGCAAGAACTTTAGGAAAGAACTTTAAAACATTAACTTAAAGACTTCATGCCACACAAACCAAAGTTCAAAGAACTGCTGTTTCACTTTAAAGGAGCTGATGACTAATTCTTTAAGCAGCAGAAGTTATCGCTACACTCTCCTTGTTTTTCCTCATGTCTCAGCAAGGTCATCAATTGTTACAAGAGAAGATAAAAACCTGTTTCTAGATAAGGCAAACAAAAAAGGAAATAATCAACAACAACTCTCTGTAGATGAATTTGCTGCTTTTTTTACATCAATTTCCCTGTACGAATATATCCACAGTAATTTTTTTAGAATGCATTTCCAGATACAAAAGGACAAATACAGTCTTCACCATTCAAATAGTATTTAATTCCCCACTGAAAACACAGCCAACCTCAGCTTCCGTATTCGGCTTCTACAAAGAGAAACAAGTCAAAATCAGAAGTGCATCATTTGGTTAACTGTAATTATCTAGCACTTTATCTGATTAAAGTACTGTGGAATTAGTAACCAAATCTCTCATTATTCCTGTGATAACACAAAGAATCACCATTTTATAGACTAACTCAAACAGGCATATATTTAGAATAGTTGTCCTGGGCATTACAGAAACATAGTACATAGTCTGGATTAGAAACAGAAAATATATACATATATGAAGTGTGGCATAAAAGTTAAGAGTATTAATGGGCCATTAAAGCCAGTTTTTGTCTTCTTTCTTTACCTAGTATAGTTCACAGCTGAACACACTATAGCATGATATAAAAAAACCGCAAGTCAATGACTTTGGAAGATTTTTGTTACATGCAATTAAATGCTAATAGGAAAAACTCAGGTAAACCTGCAGTAACATCTCACAGTAACACCACAGTATTTACGCATCTCTCTCCACTTCTAGTCCATGATGTGACACTGTACACAGAAGACATACACCAAAATTGCATTTTTATCATGACATTGTACCTTTAAGACACAAACAGTACATACACTTTGAAAAGGAGCAAATTGCTTACAATAAATTTTCTTATTAACAAAACAAAACATTTTATTAAGATAACAGTATGTCTCTATCTGTCCTGTATTTTTGTTAAGAATCAAAAGGGTATCTCTTACTATTCTTTTTTAATCACAACTAGTTTGCACTTTTCTCAGTGATGATTTTCCTTCAAAAACAAAAGCAACAAAAAAGAACAAAAATCCAGTAAAAATTATCTCCTGCATCTACGATGTTCGTGACAAATTTAAGACTGTAAGCTTCAGAGAAGAGATCCTAAGCTTTGGGCCCTAAGTGATGGTCGAGATGAACCAGAGCTTGCCAGCATCCTTACGTCACTGCTACTGTTCTCTGCAGCAGGTAGCACTTAATAGTACCAACCAGGGATTCAGGTAACTACAGTCAGCAGCTGGAAACACAATTTTCACTTTGGCTTTCTGCAGACTGGGTACATGCATCACAACTGCAGAACTGAATTCCTTATATGTGACCAGAATTTCAGATACCATTGATTTACCTTGACTATTCTGGTTCAGCTTACACCCTGAAAATGAGACAATCATTAAAGCAAAACATACACTGATAATCTATTTGGCAAAACTCAGTCCAACTTCTAAAGCTGACAGTTACAAGACTACAAATGCTATCACAAGCAGAAATAAAAAGCAAAAGCGCTTCTAACTTAAGAACATCGTGTTTCTCATAGGAGTTGCATGTTCCAGAACATTTCACGTGAAGACCAGAGTTCATAAAACTGTCCTACTTGATTTCTTTGAGTTTTCAGACCAAAAAGAGTTGCTGCTTACATGAACATGCTCATGCTCCCCCCTCTTCCGCATGAGAGGCAGGTATCTCTGACATCTGAGCAGTAGCTCTTTCTCAATTCACACTAAGCAGACAGCAGCAACTATACTCAAACCTAAATATGTAAAGTACTTGTGTTATTTAAAATATTTACCTTCCTTAGTTCACACCTACTTAGCTGGAGCCACTGAATTTCTGAGCTAACTCCTCTAGTGCAGTGTAATCAGACTACAGCATTAAAACCTTACCAACAGAAATGATAGATTAATGGGCAAGACACTTTGTCATGACATGCGCTTTCAGGACCAAAATGATCATCATTTCATCAGTTTCAGAATTCCTGGGTCACAACAGATTCCTAAAAATGTACCACTGGTGGATAACTTATCCTTGTGCTTTCCTGTATAATTTTTCACTGCTGTGAAAAGTGCTAAAGCTATTTAAGAACATTAGTTTCCACTGAAGCAAATGCAATTATCATTTCCAGCGCTCAATTTTTACATCAATGTTGCAGTGTAGAACAAATGATAAAAGTAGAACTAATTGATTTATTCTTTAGGTATACTCCCCAATGTATTTTCCACAACAGACAACTAGTCCAGAGATGCAAGTTTTATCCTAAAAGCCTCTGTATTAATCCACCTGTATTCCAATACCTCAAATCTTCTTGAAGACCAGCTTGAATAACTCAGGGTCGAGAAGAGTCCCTTCCATTTTTCCTCCCGCTCTGGAATGCAGCATGCTAGCCTCAGAGTTTAGAAGGGAGATAAACAGACAACTGAAACTATGTCCCACGTGTGGAATACCCCATGTCCTTCATGACCTAGCCCAATTAGCTGTGAGCTTCCTAACATCCATTCATCTGCCACGTTAAACAAACTAAGTCACTTTATCTATTTATTTAGCATATGAGTAAACTGCTTATTACAGAGAAAAGGTAGTATTCACCCAGACTGGCTGAAATACAGACTGATGAGGGAATATTGGAGAAATACTCTATGCTTACAGTTACAAATGAAACGTGAGCTTACAGCAAGTGTGCCACCAGTTCACCACTGGAAAAGAAACTTGGTTCTTCTCGTGAAGAAATACTTAAGAACGCTTTGCCTTTCCCTACAAACCCTATTGTTTCCTGCCCTTTGAAAACCGTGGAGAAGGGGAAAGAACGACGGTCTCCAGGTTTCTAGTTTCGCAGGGGTACCCGTGGGATGAGCTGGAATCTACCCCGCTCTGCGCTCCCACCAGATCAGAGACGAGGAAGACAGCAGCCTCCCCAGGAAACGTCACAGAGGGGCACCCAGCGGCCCATTTACTCCGGCAACCTGTTTCCCGCGGCGGCTGGGCCCGCCGGGGCGCACGCGGAGAGGGGCGCCGCTGGGGGCCCGGAGCAGCAGGCCGCCCCCGCCTCCCC